GCATTAAAATGTTGTTTGTATCTATATCTAATAAAAATTTTTTTGTTGTTGTTGTTATGTGCTGTTAAATCACACCTGACTCATAGTGACCCCTCCTTGGGTTTCTGAGGCAGTATCACTATGGAAGTAGATTGCCCAATCTTCCAAGGAGTGGCTGGTGGGTTTGAACTGCCAGCCTTCTGGGTTAGCTGTCAAGTGCCTTAGGCGCTATACTACATACAAAAAATATTTTCATGTGTGGATATATTCTAATGTTTCCTATTATTTCTTTTATAAAAAAAAAGTCTGGTTGGAGCCATTTAACTACCCTCAAGAGCCAACTTATGGACAGTTTGAAAAACACTAAGCCAAAGAGATATGAAGGCTATCTGTGTTATCACACCATGTTCTAGTAGAGGCCAATTATATATAGATACAGATATACTAAACCTTGGCAAGGAAAAAAACCTGTATTTGATACACACTGGTAGGGAACTGCTACAAAGAGGATTTGATGATAAATCTCTGACACAACCACTAAAAAGAAAACAAAGGGAAAGGATCATAGGAGACTTAAAAACTTTCTTTGGTAATTTTAATACTATTGAACCAAAGCAAGCAAAGAAAGAGAAAAAAAGAAAGAAACAGAGGCTATACTATTTGTAAGTTATTTCAGACTATAAATATGTCTCAATTTGAATTTTTGATACAATATTCATAAAAGTATACACAAAAAAAAACCCTCAAGAAAATGAAATCATTCAATTTGAGAGAGAAAAATTAAAGATTATACCTCTTCTTAAATATTGGAGGGAAAAGACTGATGAAAAAAATTTGGTGATCACTTTTTATGACTGACAGCTGTAGTGACTTTCTACTTCACTTAAAATGTGTTCCTGCTTTCTGAATGATTACAGTGCAGTCTGCATCAGGAGCTATATGAACAGCTCCACCGTGTGGATACAGACAGAACCCCTGGTCTAAACAGCTGTCTTGCATATATGGCTGCTTTTGCAAGAATGAATTACCAGCACACACACTCAAACATCTTCATATACTTTATAATGAATTTAAGTGACTATCCTAGTTAAAGCATCTCTAACAAACTATGAGATATAAAAAGTACTTCAAGACATATTTATCTTTCAGTGTGTTTGCTTATACTTTAATGCTTGCTTACTTAGCATGTACCACAAAGATCAAGTATTTTCAGTATTATATAAGGAGGTAGCAAAGAAGTAGTAATTGACAATATTATATATCTAGCCTAACACAATCTATTTTTATATCAATTTGTGAAAGAAGCTATACTATTTACAAGTATTTCAGGCTACAAAATGTCTGAATAGAAATATAATTAGAATTTTGATACACTATTCATAACATACACACCAAAAAAACTCAAGAAGAACAGACACTTTATTTTTAAGGTAAAAGTTCTATTTTCTTGTGAGGCAGCAACAAGTGTCCAGGTACAGGGAATACATAAGTACATAGTAACAATAGTTATCACCACTGGAAACGCTGTTTTTTTTTGGGAGAATTTTGTTAGAAAAACAAATTTTTTAAAAAATTGCTTTTTAAAAAGATTTACACAGTTTCAACAGAGATGAAAGATGAAGCGTTTAAAAAAACATAAATTATATTCTTCAATAGGAGTGTATAAACAAACTATTGTTCAGGGTTACTCTGCTTAGCATTAATTTAAGCAGAGTAAAACTTAAACCTTAAAGTGCGGAAGTTAAATATTCTTAGCTTTATTTTGCAAATGCAGCACTTTCATTGGTCTGGTTTTGAGCCATCACAATCCCAGCATGAAGGAATGAATCTTAAGCTTAGAACATGAAAGTCAATTCAGGAGTGGGAGATTATCCTTTATTTCCTTGAACTAGAGAAAGAAAATCTTGACAACCTAGTCCTAATCTTGGCCATACACAAGGTTATAAATCCTGCCATTTTTTTAATGTCTTCTTCCAGTAAAAGCCTACTATTAAAAAAAAAAAAATTAAGGCCTTTCACATTGCCAGTTACCTCCACAGTTAGCATTAGCACCTTCTAAAAGGCTGATTTGACTCATGGTCATAAATATAAAATATATTTTAAACAAAATGAAGAATTTACATCAAAGGTAATTTTGGTATCCATGCTTACCAAATTAACCAGAGAGGTAAAATGGGTATTTAAAAAACATTAATTGCTCACAAAAGTCATGACAAGTAGTAGACTTAATTATGATGAGAAACAGTAAATTTATATAAATTTTATCACCACAAAGAAGAAATCATCTAAGGTAGAAAATAACTAAGATTGGCAAAGTGAATTAACAACCAGTGATCAGCTCCTTTTGCTGAAAGACACATGCCACTCATGTCTTTTACTATGATGAAAGTGAATTTTTTAAAAATTTCTAAAAATTTTAAATTATAACCCTCATTGCGCTATTCCCATTTTTTACTTTCTATACAATTTGCTACAGAGTAACATAATAATTACGGAATGTAACTGTAGAGAAAACAGTATTAAATGATCTATTGAGAATAGACACCTGTGAACTAAGGGTTAAATAAAACAGCTGAATGGGCCTACACAGTTACTATTTTTTCAAGACTGCAATAAAGCTTATACTCTTTAAAAATTAGCCCTTTGGCACTAGCAGTTAGGGCTGTTTGTACCTTGTACCTTTCTTTTTCAAATCTCAGGCTCTCTTTCTTTCAAACCTGAGGGATTCATTTGGTTGTCATACAACTCATTTGCTTGTGAATTCACATTCTCCTTAGAACAAAATATAATAGACTAGAAGCTCTGCTTTTAAGACTCTGTAAATAATGAATCTTAAACTTGTTCTTCTATTCCAACTTTAAATTAAGGATATATGGAACTGCACAGAAGGGTGTGAATTAGACAAACATGTGCAACAGGGTAAAAGGGAAAAAAAAACTGTTTACAAAGTGGCATTCTAGTTGTAAAACACCACCATGACTTGCAGGGATAGAGACAAGAAAAAAAAAAGTGTAAGGCAAGGAAAACAGCATAGATTTAACAGAGTTCAGGTAATACTAAAACTAAAGTTTCGGAGTTTTTTTTTTTTTTTATTGAAACCTTATTTTTAACTTCCTCCTCCACCATTTATGCCAACTCTCCTGGTTTCAGTTTTACCTTTCCCTCTGCGCTTCTGACAGAACAGATGCTCAGTGATGAAATGGCATCACCAAAAGACAGAAAACAGAAAAGGTAGAGAAGCAAGGCTCTCAAAAACCCACCAACCAGAAAGTTTACACACTGAATAATCGAGTTTTTACTGCTTTCAAGGCCATAATGTAAAGTTCTAAGTAAATTAGTTTTGGATGGAAAAGGTAGCAAAATTCACCAGTCCTTACCAACTAAAACCTGACAAATTAATTTAAACACTGAATTTATCTGTCTTACCTAAATGTATCACCATTTTGAACTTATAGGGCATATATATATTTTTTTAATATTTAGATGTTTTAAAGATTTGTGAGTATAAGGTAGTCCTTTCACAAGATTTATTGCTACCACTAGGTTTTCCTCAATGAGCTATGTTTGGACAAACAGACGTACTGACTGTCAAAGTAGTATTCCTTCTTAAGTATTTAAGATTTTATTTTGCTTACAAAATATATATAGGAAAATTAAATTATTGCATCATAAGGTAGTATATAAAGATAAGAGAAGGACGCTTCTTATCAACACTGTTGGCTGAAAATTTTTTTTTTTTTAAAAGAGCTGCTCCTTAAGGTCACTACCTCATATGCAGAAATGAAATACTTGTTGTCATGGGATATTGGCAGTGATGTGTATTAGGATGAACCCAAAGCCAAAATTGTATGGATTTTTCAGAGATGCCTGTTGTTTATGCTCCAAAGCTTTTCTTGTCTGTTTTCCCCACTATGTGGAATGTCGAAAGGGGAAAGCTAGCAAAATCTATAGGCAACAAATCTCAGTGCCAACCACCACAAAGAAAATGTCAGTCACAAGACTCTGTGGCTTCGGACTGCTACTCACTCAATGGATTACTCTCCTGGCAAACTACTAACCCTGACCAAATCCACAAGACAACAACATCACAAAAGCAAAGAAGGGAATCCATGCACAGCAATTTTAGGATCTCTTGGGGGCTATGATACAGTGATGGTTAAAGGTAGAATGTTATTTGTGGCAAAGAAGGGAGATCATGTGATACACCTTTTGCAGAATACGAAAGGGGCTCCTTACTCCTAGCTAGCAATCAACACTGAGTAGTTTTCTTTTGGCTCACTGACTTGAAACCAAGTTCCAATGATGGGTGAGAACATATCAGAGCACTTGTCTCTGGACTATAATTTTTCTGACCACACGGTGAAATGCATACAGGAGTAGTGAAGAAAACATTAGTTTTACAAACATTTCACCCAAAGCACAAACTTCTGACATCAAAAAACATAAACCACATAATATACTAATATTGCTTTTTAACTCTTTTCATATATATTTGTTCACTGTATTTACCTATCAATTCTTGTTTGGGAGAAGAACATAGTTATGAGTTTAAGATTGCTAGGAAAATGTCAACGATTAATCCCTTTGGTCCCAAAGCTGAAAACAGCTGAGAAAAGCACACATCTAGAAAGGGAAACAAGAAACAGAGGCCACCAAAGAATCTTTCAACATCCTGTTTGCTACGTTTCAGAAAATGTAACATTGGTATTATAAAATAGTCATTTTCATATAAAAGATGGTTCTTGCAGCATTGTTCATGTCTCCCTTCAGGAATCATGTTTGCAGGGATCAGCTGTTTAGTTTTTTTTTTTTAAAGAAGTCTAATAATTTGAGAACAAAAGCAATGAGATACCAGCCCTCTAAAAGTAAAGAATGAGACCTTTCTTGTTTCAATCCATGCTTTAAGAAAAAGCAGGCTAAGAACTGAGGGCTGGTCTTCATGAGTAGGGCAGAGCCATCAGAGGGGCTGCTTTCTTCCAGAAGCTTCAGTGTCACATGCCACTACAGAAAGCTGGAGCACATCAAAGCCAACTGGGAGCGCATGATGCCGTCCTAGTCAAGTGATCTGAGGAGATTCTCAGTTTCCTGAAACAATGGCCACATAGCACTGGGACTTACCCTTCAGCTTCCTCGATTGGTTCTGGTGGTGGGAGAAGAGAGGCTGAGGACATGACTGTACTCGTTCCTCGAGACACTCGGTCTTGCTCTGTGTTTGTAGACACAGAGGTCATAGCAATAGGCTGTAGCAGAGTGGTCGTCATGCCAGTGGTGACTGTCAGGCTATGGCCAGAGCCCTTGAGGGTAAGATCTGGTGTGGGAAGAAGTGGCTTGAGGATACTGACGAGGCAGAAAGCAGAGCCACTTTTAGGAATAAAATTCACCTTGTTCTTGTCAGGACAGTAAAAGGCTGGGATTTCATGAAGTTGTTTTGGCCTAGACACAGAAGAGATAACCCAATAATACTTTTAAGTCACTGAACACTGGAAATAAGTACTTTTATTTGTTTATTTAAAAACAGTTAACTTATAGATACACGAATGGAATGCAAAACTTGGGCTATTTGTCAAAAGCTTCAACTGCCAAGGACCAAACTGGTATTAGATACATAATTCAAAATATGTACATTGGAATACTGCAAAGAAACCATTCATCGTTGCTGCTTTCTGTTCCCTGGCAAGCCCCTGGGACCCTAGGTGGTTCAGGCTGCCCCCAACTGCATTTCAATGTAGATCTAAGATAGTCAATATGAATAATGAATTTCCTAAGGCAAAAGAAATCTAGATGTTCAGAGACAAAAATACGTTCTACCACCAGGTTTTTGTTCCAAAGCTTGCTTGTACTATGCTGAAGGAAGATGGCATGAAAGTTAATGATCTACAAAGTCCTATCTTTTGCTAAGTTCCTCCACTGCATGACTAAATTTTGGTGAGCATGGATTTTCCTTCTAGATTCTCTTAAAAACGTCTTTGATTGGAACAATTATTTAATGGTTTCCTAAGCAATGTAAGGTGAGTTCAAAATCAGAATAAAACTAATGAGAGTCCTTGCTTTTAGTTTTTATTGAAGCCAAATTCTTCCCCATTCCAAGGTGCTTCTGAAAATGAACCCAAACAGTTGAAAGGATACCGATGAAACTAAAAATATGAAAACAAAACACTAAGTTGCTAAAATAGCATGGAAGTGCCACAAAATTCCAAAGACATTAAGATGGGAGAACCTAAGTACACCAAGACACAGGGGAAAGGGTCTATAATTATATGATAAAAGTTTAGTTCTTAGCTCTCCATGTAACAATTCAGTTCAATAAAATCTAAGTGAGCCAAGTCTGCACTGGATTCTGAGGGCACAAAGATAAAACATGAGCTCTGCCCTCAAGCTTATCATAATCTACAAGGAATTGTACTAAATTTGTAGTTCTGGAGGAAGGTACTGTTCAGGACAAAAGTATATTTCAGTATCATCTGTCTCCTTTGTAATCCTATATATGTTATTTTACGCATTTCAAAACACTATTCTGAGATGGGATCCATAAACTTCACCAGACTGCCAAAGGGGTCAATAGCACAAAAAAGGTTAAAAACTCCTGCAAGAGCGCCTGATCAGTGTGATAGAAATGGTCTGTAAAGGTTTAGAGGATAAGCTTGGTAGGAAAGAAGGCTTCCCAAAGGAAGTTATTATCTGAATTGGAATGACAAAGAATGAGTAAACAGCAGACATTAGTGAAGGGTGGAAAACTGTTCCAAATTGACAATGTATCAGGAGAGTTAATTTTATTGATTAATAATGAATACTAACCATGGATATACTAGCTTCAGGAAATATAACAGGAAAAATTTTAAGAACAAAGAACGCGTATCATTTAAATTATGTTTTACTTGGGTACTATTCCTTCTTGAATAGAATTCAATTAAGTCGAGTCCTTTTAGCGCCACAAATATATTTGGATATATTACTACTTGGACAGGCAAACACCCGTCTGTTCCACCATGTAAGAGTAAGGTTTTCTATTCCTTAAAGAAGACAGAAGTTGGGATTATGTTTCTATAATTAAATAATGTTTGAATTTTCCTTTGAAGATAGCTTGTATTAGGAAAAATAAAACAAACCTCCTAAATGAGGCCTGGATTTTATTTAATTGATAGAAGTTATATTGTTAAAACTGACTTAAAATATGAGGTTATTAATGCATTTTAAGATGAAACTTTACATATCAGAAATACAAAGAAACTTCTTTTTTTAAAAAAAAAAAACCTTTGGGTGAAAGTTTACAGAGCAAGTTAATTTTCCATACAGCAATTCACATACACTTTGTCACATGACATTGACAGTAATTTCCCACAATGCAATAGCTCTCTTCCCACTCCTGACTCTGATGAAGTTCTTGATCTGGAAAATATTTTAAGTGACAGGAATCTTAAAAAGTTAAATTTCCTTGCTGCTTTCATGAAAACAGACCTAGGACACATTTCACACAAAATAACAAATACTAATAACCTAACTAGTAGCCAGATCAAGAGAAGAACACTATAGCAAGAAGCCCAAAAAAACTCCCAGTTTGCTCTCTTTCCAGTCATATCTCAACCCAAGAGTAACTACTCTCCTGAGCGCTAAACATTAAGCATCTAGCAGCATAATGTTACCCAAGGTCAACCTTAGCTACCTCAGAGTTATGTAACCTACATTTACACTAACAGAAGCTGCAAGTACTAACATTACTTCAAAGCACTCTTCAACTTAAGAACCATAATACAAAGGGGATTAGAACTTGTTTAAACATTTTATTTTTCCTTAAGCAGTTATTCTAAAAGGATTGTCTCGCAAAGTAGATAAAACTGTTAGCTGACTTTCTAGAGAATGGACAGGCTAGATAATTATTATATGCATTGTCATATTTATGCAAAGAATGTTTTGGTACACATTTTTAAATATTTGCTTATTTTTTTGTTTTTTAATTCAGGTATAAATTATTAGCAAAGAAAATAGTAGTTCTCAGTTCCAAGATTCTTTCCCCCCGCCCAAGATTTTTATAATTAGAAAAAAAAAAAAAGAAAGAAAGAAAGGGAGGGAGAGAAGAAAAGTCACAACTCACGTTAATTAAAAAAAATACCAATATACTGTGAAGAGGCCTTAATATTTAGGGACATAAACTATAAGGCACAACGAATTCACTAGCTGGGATCAGTAAATAGCATATTTGACTTCAGGTTGGGCAATCTACTTCCGTAGTGATACTACCTCAGCAACCCAAGGAGTGGGACGATTCGACGGCACATAACAACAACACAAATGCAGGAGGGGTGGCTGTGGTCTACAGAATATAGAGAACACAGAGAGTCTGAAGTGCAAATTCTGGTCCTGCACTCTCTGGGCTCAAAGACAACTGTCTAATTCACTCTTAAGTTACTGCTATTCATTTGTTTTTGGAACTCAACTCTCTAGTTTCTTTCAAGTAAACAGATACCTTTCTAGAAACCAGGGTTCTCCCATCCTCCACTCCCAGTTCAGGTCAGAATTACTACTTTAAACCAAAAGTAAGACTTTAGAGTGAAGAGTGTTCTTTAAAGAATGATTATAACAAGTTAAAATTTTTAAGACCTACCTTTGCTTTAATGCCACTCTGTCCAATAGTTTTTGCTCTGGTTTTGCCATATTAGGACAAAAAGAGACTTAATTTTTTAAGGCTGTAACTTATTTTTTTGAAAGAAAGTTAATATTTACCTCTAAGAAATTCACTCTTGAGTTGCTGCTGTTAATTTGCTTTCTGAAACTTAAGGGTTTAAAAATAAATAGAATTTTGTCTGATTCACAAACTTTATGTCAGTAAAGTTTATGATAAACTATATACCTAAAAAAGTTATTTTACCTTCTTTTAACAGATGAATGTGCCATAAAACATGAAATGTGTTAGAATTCACATTATGTTTCTTTGATCCATCAACTGATATATCCATCCATTAATACATATATACACGTGTATGTTCTTTCTTCCCTCCCTTGACACACAAATAATGTACTAGTATATGGCTCAGATATTAACTTCTGAGAAATTTCCCAATTGTAATCATCTAAGGCAGATACCACAGACATTAACCTACAAACAATCACACAAAGTCATTTCTAATGCGAAACTGAACAGCAATTATTGGTGATGATTGTATAACATCTTAACATAACTGGTACCACTAAAGCGTGCATTTGAGAAAATGCTGTCAATATATATATTTGAATAATATATATATTATATATATTATTCAATAATGACAGCAATAAAAAACTAAAACAACAACAACAAAGTGATTTCTAAAAATTTCTATTTACTTTTGAGCCAATCAACCATTTCTCTACACTGAAGACAAATCCTGCAAATAACACAAACCTGCTTGGCAAGCATTTACTGATGAAAATCAAAGACTACAGCCTTCATAGTGGCTAAAGCACTTGACTGCTAACCAGAGGGCTGGCGGTTCAAACCCACCAGCCACTCCTCGGAAGGAAGGTTGGGCAATCCTACTTCCGTAGTGATACTGCCTCGGAAACCCAAGGAGGGGTCGCTATGAGTCGGGGCCGACTCGATGGCACATAACAACCATAACAACAACAACAGCCTTCAGTATGGATTACACTTTAACATAAAGAAAACAAAAATCCTCACAACTGGACCAATACGCAACATCATGATAAATGGAGAAGAGATGGAAGTTGTAAAGGATTGCATTTAACTTGGATCCACTATCAATGCTCATGGAAACAGCAGTCAATAAATCAAATGACACACTGCACTAGGTTAATCTGCTGAAAAAGACCTCTTTAAAATTTTAGAATGCAAGGTAGGTACACTCTCCAGAACAATCAATCATGGGAGATCAGAAGGGCAACATTTGCACAGGGAGATAGCTCAGAGGGCAAGAATGCACAGGAAAGAAGGACACAGGGAAAAGGTAACCACAGGGAGGAAATGGGAAGAGAGCTATTACATTACGGGGATTGGAATCAATGTCATGAAATAAAATAGGCATGAATTGCTATATGGAAAATAAATTTGCTATATAAACTTTCACCCAAATCACAAATTAAAAAAAAAAAAATCTCAGAAAGTAAAGAGGTCACTTTGAGGACAAAGGTGTACCTCATAAGAACACAAAAGCAGGACAATTAAAAAGGAAGACCAAAGGAGAATTGATGCATCTGAATTATGATGTTGGCAAATACTGATTATACCATGGACTGCCAAAGGAATGAACAAATCTGTCTTAGAAGGAGTACAGCCAGAATGCTCCTTAGAAGCAAGGATGGTCAGGCGTTGCCCCATATACTTTGGACATATTATTGGGAGGGACCAATCCCTGGAGAAGAATATCATGTTTGGTAAAGTGGAGGGTCAGTGAAAAAGGGGGAGACCCTCAATGAGATAGACTGACACAGTAGCTACAACAACAGGCTCAAACATACCAGGACCAAGCAACATGAGTCAGAACCTAACAACAAAAACGGGCAAATCCTACCTGCCAATGAGTAAATCGAAGAATCCAACTCCAAAAGGGTTCATTTAGACCAATTGATTTTTACTTAATAGAATGACCTGGCCCCATTTGGCATAGTGCCTAAGGCATTTGACTGCTAACCAGAAGGCTGGTGGTTCAAACCCACCTCTCACTCCTCAGAAGGAAGGTTGGGCAATCTGTTTTCTCAGTGATACTGCCTCGGAAACCCAAGGAGAGGTCACTATGAGTCAGATCAGACTCGATGGCAGCAAGTTTGGTTTTGGGTTTCATTTCTGAAGAACTCATGGAAAGATCTAAGCTAACTTTTTCAAATTAGGTATAAAAACTGTATTGTTAAAAATGCAGAATCCACATCCTATCTCCATACTGATTCATTAGACCTGGGATGAGACCTGGAGATTTGTACTTTAACTTATACTCCAGATGATTATTATGCAAGGAGTCCATGGAACAAATCTGGAGAAACAGTGGCTAAAACTCTCAGCTGGCACTAGTCAAAAGTTACAGACCCATATGGTGAAAAAACTGAAATTAGCATTCACTAGTTTTTTCAATTACTGTCACAGAAGCAGATGGAAGACTGACAGCTGGTGTTTCCTAGCAGAGAAGTTGAAATTCAAAGACGCCACTCTTTGTATGGCAAGATTATTCAGAATTCAGGTTAAAGGGAACAGTGACAGGAGGGGCCACATAAGAAAAACAAAAGGGTGCCATGTTTCACATCATTCTGAGATGTTCATGATAGAGGATGATGACAAACTGTATGAACTGGAGGAGGCTAGACCATCTCCACAATGTCTTTTGCATTTCACAGTAAGAAAAGGCCAGAAGGAGGGCTGTTGGGTTTACAGTCATAGTGACACTGGAGGGTCAGGACTAAGTACTATCATCATATCACCAAATAATATTCATCACTACTTTGCTCAGTCTCAAACATATCTCAAAACCCATGGCCACCACTTATAAAGTAACAAGTCACAACTACTGAAAACACAAGGTCATATACTTTCTGGGTGAACTTCAAGCTTAAAATGGGAGTAGCTGATTATAGTACAAGCGAACAGAAATACAGGCAGTCCCTGGATCACAAACAAGTTCCATTCTTAAGTCTGTCTTTAAGTTGTATATGTACACAGCTGGCACAGTTAGGTATGGTTTGTATCTAACATCGGCTACTCAAATGTTTGTTTTAGTATATAGTGTACCATTCTGTAAACAGAAAATATTACAGAAACACTTCCAGATGCACTAGAACATCTTTAGCACAACACAATAATAATCATGTTTTGATACATGTCACAAAGTACCGCCCATTTGTTATTACAAACCATATTATGTACCTCAAATTTTCAATATAACAGGCTTTACAGATTATATATAAGTTGGATGTTTGTCACCCAGGATCTGCCTGGACATGAGTTTAGAAGACTGCATACCAATTGCACGAGTTACTACTAGTTTCAAATTCTACTTCTCACATTATCTTTACCAAAGTGGAATTACTGTATGTGGTGGTTATGTTTTTTGTGTCAACTTGGCTGGGCCTGGTTGAGTGGCTGGGCAGCTGGTGGCAGTTATTCCCCATGATGAGATTGGCAATCAACTCCATGGTGGGATCTACCACAAGCAGCTGAGTAGCTGCCTTTGGGAATGTGGTCTGCTTCCTGTATTTAAGGAGATGCCTCGGGAATGGTCTCTAGCCTATGGCACGCTTGGACCCTGTATGTAGCCGTGTCATTGCTCAGCAGCCTGCTATGCTCTGCCGAGCTTGAGACTTACAATGGACTTAAGTTAATGGCCTGCCGTGTGGTTTGGTAACATCAGGACTGTGCCTTTTTACTTGTCAACCTTGGAGGGCTTCTCAGCCTCAGCAGCCAGCAGCTGTCTGAGTGAAGAAATGCCTCTAGTGCCAGTGGGCTGGGAGCAGGAGGCAGAGCTGGACCCGAAGGTTGAGGGGCTTTCACCCAGCCCCTAGAGCCTGGCACTCTGAACTTGGACTTAAAGCCTCCAAATTGTAAGAATAAACTCCTGTTTGTTAAAGCCATCCCATTTGCGGTATATTCTTGTCAGAGCGGCATTAGAACCAGAACACTGTACAAAGTACAAATATCAGAATTCTGGTTCCTGAATTGGCAGACTAAATAAAAATTAAAAAAAAAAAAAAAAAAAGTTTAAGAAACTAGAGCCTAAAACTAGATGAAAACTGAAGAGGATCTGATCCTTGAAAAAAGGTAGAGAAATCTGTAGTCAACCTTGAATAAATATAAATCAAAATTCATTGTGTAAATTTCACTGGATACAGGTTCAAAAATACTTTGGGCCAAATGAGGAAATATGAGTATCAATTAGATATTAGTTAATTTAAACATTACTGTTAATTTTCTTAGGCTTCATAATGGTATTGTCAGTATGCAGGAATATTGTGGAATCTCTGGATGGTGCAGTTAAAGCACTGAGCTATTAACTGAAATGTTGAAGGTTTCAGTCCATTCAGAGGCATCTCAGAAGGAAGTGCTGGCAATTTACTTCTAAAAAATCAGCCACTGAAAACCCTTTGGAGCACAGCTCTACTCTGAAACACACAGGATCACCAATAAGTCAGAGTCAACTCAACAGCAACTGGTTAAGAATACTGTGGTTATTTTTAGGAAATGAATATTACAATGTATTTAGGGCTTAAGTGTCATGATGTCTGCAACTTACTTTCAAACAGTTCAGCAAAAACCACCACCACCACATACAGACAAAGCAAATAGGACAAACTTTTAACAACTGTAGAATCTGAGTGACGGACATACAGTGGTCACTGTACTATTCTTTCAGTTCATCTGAAAATTCTAATACAAGTTGGGGAGGGGATGTACTCACGAGCATTCCTCAAAGACTTTGACCCTTTCACAGCCCTCAGGAGGTTCCCTTTTGAACATGTAACTGTTGTTAGGTTTTGGTGATGTTGCATATTTGGGCAAAGGAGAATTGTTTCCATTTTCTGAAAGAAACAACACATTGCATTCATTATAAATAACTACTATTATAAAAATGAATAATCATACTCTATTGCTCTATTGTAATTGTTCCTGGCCTCCCTTCCATACCATGAACCACCTGAGGGTAAAAATGGTGTTTTAATTCATCTGTATCACCCTAATACCTAACACAATTCCTAATTTTAAAAGGAGCTAATTAATGTTTGTGAAGTAAATGCATATACTAATAAAGCACTTTTATTTCTTCTTCACTTGCAATTACCATCACCTATGCCTGTATGAGGAGCTCTGGTAGCTTAGTGCCTAAGGTACCTGACCGCTAACCAGAAGGCTGGTGGTTCAAGCTCACTAGCCACTCCTGAGAAAGAAGGTGGGGCAACCTACTTCCATAGTGATACCGCCTCGGACATGCAAGGAGGGGTCGCTAAGAGTCGGGTCCGACTCAATGGCACGTAACAACAACACGCCTTCATCACCTCAGCCTGCAATGCTGACTACTCATTTACTTGGCTGCCTCACTTCTATTCTGTGCGTACCACATAGACACAAACACCACTTCCATTATTCACAGCACAGTGTCTGAAATGGTTCTTCACTGGTTGCTTATCATTGACTCTTGGTCTCTCTTCAACATTTCTCAATGTGATTTCTCTGCTCCTCTGCTTACAATCTCTACTCTGACAGCCACAGACAAAAATCGTAAAATTTACAGCCGCAAACTGTAGCCTAAAGACTTCCTTTTGGCTATGAGATTTCCCTCACCTAAAAGACCCTTTTCTGTTAATTTTTAAAATTTTCTTCAAAGTCTAACTCAAAAATTTTTAAATCTTTCCAAATTAACCTTATTAAAGAGTGTCTTTAATATCCCTCTTCAGTACAGATGTCCCCAGTTTATACTATATTAACTTAAAAAATTCTTGTTATATAACCATTCTAAATTTTTCAGTCTGTGTCAGCTAAGCTATGAATTTCCTGACTGCTGTAGTACTGTGATCCTGTTTTCTTACATAATAAATTCATGAGAACCAACAGTCACCAACCAAACCTGCTACCGCTGAATAAATTCCAGCTCATGGCAACCTTACAGGACAAAGCAGAACTGCCCCGCAGGGTTTCCAAGGCTGTAAAGCTTTACAGAAACAGCCTGGCACAACACCCTTCTTCCACACAGCAGCTGGTGGGTTTAAACCGTCAACCCTTTGGTTAGCAGCTGAACGTTGCTTATCATTGGTTTTAGGAGAACACAACACTTAACAGAGTTCCTCCATGTTACTGATTTGGAAGGAGCAGTAAGGGAGATTTTAATAGCCATGTTTTATCTGACCTGGCCCCTCAATCTCTATAAAAAGTCCAAATGACAGGTTTACAAACAGTCTGAAAGTACTTCTTCAGTGAAATTTATGCCCTCCGCACTTGCACACTGGTGTAGGTGACGAGTAGTAACAGTCAATTATAACAATGGAATGTTTTAGGATGTTAAACACACTGGATGCAGTAGGTTTGAAAAAAATGACTACTGACTACTGAACCAAGCTACAGAATTTCCACATAAATTTTCCTATTATTGCTTTCAAGTATATGCAGTAACTAGAATTAAGCTAACAAAATATTGCTCTGATATGCCGCTGCTGTTGTTAGGTGCCATCAAGGTGACTCCACCTGAAAGCGACCCTAAATAAAATAGAATCAAACGGTGTTCAGTCCTGCACCATTCTCACAATCCCTCCTATGCTCGAACCCACCATTGTAGCCACTGTGCCAATCTGTCTCGTTGAGGTTCTTTGTCTTTTTTTGCTGACTCTCTACTTTCTCAAACATGTTATCCTTTCCCAGGAACTGGTCCCTTCTGACAACATGATCAAAACAGGCGAGACAAAGTCTGGCCATTCTCACATCTAAGGAGCATTCCGGCTGCAATTCTTCTGGGATAGATTTGTTTGTTCTGCTGACAGTCCAGTATTTTCTATATTCTTCACCAACACCACAACTCAAAGGCCTCAATGAATTCTTCGGTCTTCCTTATACATTGTCCAGTTTTCATGTGATTATGAGGTGACTGAAATACCATGACTTGGGTCAGGTGCATCTTAGCCTTCAAAGTGCCCTCTTTGCTCTTAAACACTTAAAAGAGGCCTTTTGCAGTAAATCTGCCCAAGGCATTACATCTGATTTCTTGACACTGCTTCCATGGGCATTGATGGTGGATCCAAATAAAATGAAATCCCTGACAACTTCTATCTTTTCTCCATTTATTGGGATGTTGCTTACTGGTCCAGTTGTGAGGAGTTTTGTTTTCTTATGTTGAGATGTATTCACACTGAAGGCTGAACAGTCTTTGATCTTCATCAGTAAGTGCTTCAAGTCTTCACTTTCAGTAAGCAAGGTTGCATCATCTGCGTATCTCAGGTTGCTAACAAGTCTTCCCTCCAATCTTGATTGCCATGTTTTCTTCTAGTCCAGCTTTTTGGATTATTTGTTTAGCATACAGATTGAATAAGTATGGTAAAAGGATACAACCCTGATGCACACCTTTCTCGAATTTTAAACCATTTACTGTCCCCTTGTTCTGTTAGAATGATGCCTCTCTTGGTCTGTGTAGAAGTTCTTCATGAGCACAAGTAAGTGTTGTGGAATTCCCATTCTTTTCAATGTTATTCACAATTTGCTATTGCCCACACAGTTGAATGCCTTTGCACAGTCAATGAAACACAGATAAACATCTTTCTGGTATTCTTTGCTTTCAGTCAAAATCCATGTAACATCAGCAATGATATCTCTTGTTCCATGCCTTCTGAATTTGGCTTCAATTTACAGCAACTCCCTGTTGATGTAATGCTGCAACCATTTTAGGATTATCTTTGACAAATTTTACTTGTGTGTGACATTAATGATATGATGTGATAATTTCCACATTCTACTGGATCTCCTTTCTTTGAAACAGGCACAAATATGGATCTCTTTCAGCTGGTTGGCCAGGTAGTTGTCTTCCAAATTTCTTGGCATAAACTAGTGAGCACCTCCAGCACTGCATGCCTTTGTTGAAACATCTCAAAGGGTATTCCTAAATTCCTGGAACCTCATTTTTCACCAATTCCTTCAGTGCAGCTTGGACTTCTGCCTTTAATACCATTGGTTCTTGATTATATCCTACCTCCTGAAATGGTTGAACATCAACCAATTCTTTATGGTACAGTGACTCTGTGTATTCCTTCTATCTTCTTCTTTTTTTTCTCTCCAACTTTTTTTTGTGATTTGGGTGAAATTTTACAAAGCAGATTCATTTTACATTCAATAGTTCATAAATTTGTTGTTTTGTGACACTGGTTACATTTCCTACAATGTAGTAGCTCTCCTCTCACTTTCTGTGATGTCCTTCTTGCCTATGGATTCCTGCCTCCCTACCTTTCTCCCTGTGCAAATGCTGTCCTTCTTGATTATTCTAAGGAGTGTATCTCTGTAGCATAGGTGTTCAGCTTGTAGGCCTGTCTGTTGTTTAGCTGAGAGGTAAGCCATGGGAGTGAGGTCAATTCTAGGCCCAAAGGGTGACTTGGGGCCATAGTCTCAGGGAGTTTACCAGTCTGTCTTAGACCAGTAAACCTGGTTATTTTATGATATTGAGGTTTGTTCCACATTTTTCTCCCACTTTGTCCAGGATCTCCAATTCTGATCCTTTTCCAAATGATGGGCATTGCCAGCCAGGCATCATACCATCTACTTCTATCTCAGGGTCATATAGGCTGAGGTGCTCATGGTTCATTAGTCCTCTGGACTGTTTTCATGGGTCTTTGATTTTGTTCAATTCTTCTTTGCTCTGGATGAGGAGAGACTAATAGTGCCATCTTACATGGCTGCTTGCAAGCTTTCAAGACCCCAGTTACTACTCACCAAAGTAAGATGTAGAACAATATCCTTGTATACTACATTGTGCCAATTGAACTTGATGTCCCCTGCAATCATGGTCCCCAGCCCAGAGGCTCAATGACTCACTCCTTCAAGGTATTTAAGTTGTGGCTAAGAATTTGTCCTAACTTTGCCTCCATCTTCTTTTGATGCTTCCGGAATCATTCAATATTTTGCCCATGTTGTTGTTGTTGTTGTTGTTATGTGCCATCGAGTCAGACCCGACTCATAGTGACCCCTCCTTGGGTTTCCGAGGCAGTATCACTACGGAAGTAGGATTGCCCAACCTTCCTTCCGAGGAGTGGCTGGTGGGTTTGAACCGCCAGCCGTCTGGTTAGCAGGCAAGTGTCTTAGCCACTATGCTACCAGAGCTCCCATTAGAACCCTGCAATATTGCAACTCAAGGCTTGAAGTTTTTCCTCAGTTTTTTTCAGCTTGAGAAATGCCAAACATGTTCTTCCCTTTTCATTTTCTAATGCCAGGTCTTTGCACATTTCATCATAATACTTAACTCTGTCTTCTCAAGCCACCCTTTGAAATCTTCTGCTCTTTTATTTCATCATTTCTTCCATTTGCTTTATTTAGCTACTCTCCATCCAAGAGCAAGTTTCAGAGTCTTCTGACATCCATTTGGTCTCTTCTTCCTTTCCTGTCTTTTTAATGATATTCTGTTTTCTTCACGTGTGATATACTTAATGTCATTCCATAACTCATTTGATCTTCAGTCACTGGTGTTTAATGTATCAAATCATTTCTTCTGATGGTCTCTAAATTCAGTTTCAATATAATCAAGGTCGTATTTTGGCTCTTGTGGACTTGTTTTAATTTTCTTCAGGTCCAACTTGAATTTGCATGCGAGCAGTTGGTGGTCTGTCCCACAGTCAGAGTTCCTGGTGTTATTCTGACTGATGATCTCCATCATCTCTTTCCATGGATGTAGTCAATTTGATTTCTACATATTCTGATGAGGTCAATGTGTAGAGTCACCATTTATATTGCTGAAAAAAATGTCTTTGCAATGGGTTAGTCATTGGTCTTGTACAATCCTATCATGCAGTCTCAGGTGTCATTTCTATCACTAAGGTCTTTTCCAACTACCAATATTTCGCTTCCAACCTTTGCATTTAATCACCAGCAATTATCAATACATCTTATACACGTATGGTCAATTTCAAACTGCAGAAGTTGATAAAAATCTTCAATTTCTTCATCTTTGGCACTAGTTGTTGGTGCACAAATTTGAGTAATAGAAGTAGGGTTAGCAGTCAAATGCCTCAGGCACTACACCACCAGAGTTCCCAGTATTAACCAGTCTTCTTGTAAGTGTAGAGACATTATCCTATCACTGAAAGCAATGTACTTCAGGATAGATCTTGAAATGCTCTTTTTGACAATGAATGTGACACAATTCCTCTTCAATCTGTCATTCCTGGCATAGAAGACCATATGACTGTCAGATTCAAAATGGCCAATACCAGTCCATTTCAACTCACTAATGCCTAGGATATCAATCTTTATGTATTCCATTGCATTTTTGACAACTTCCAATTTTCTAGATTTATACTTCGTACATTCCACATTCTAATTATTACTGGATGTTTGCAGCTATTTCTTCTCATTTTGAGTCATGCAAACAAAGGTCCAAAAAGCTTTACTCCATCCATGTTATTAAGGTTGACTTGAGGTGGCAGCTCTTCTCCAGTGGTATTCTGAGTGCCTTCTCCCCTTAGGGGTTCATCTTCCAGCACTGTATCAGACTATTTCATTGCTATTCATAAGGTTTTCAGTGACCAATTTTTCAGAAGTGGAAGACCCCATCCTTCCTTCCAGTCTGCCTTAGTCTGGAAGTTCTGCTAAAACCTGTCCACCATGGGTGACCCTGCTAGTATTTGAAATAGTGGGGGCAGTGCTTCCAGCATCACAGCAACCTGCAAGCCATCACAGTATGACAAACTGACAAATGAGTAGTAAATTGCATTGATGTAGACAGACTGAAAGGTTTTAAAGATTACAATATTTGTAACTAATATACAAACTGCTTATGGTTCCAGGCTACATTTTTAACTTGCATAAAGAGTTTAATAGTATAAATAGCCATCTCAAAACTTTTTACTCTAAACTTGCCTTGAACACTCATTTTGCATCAAGATAAATCAGCTTACTCCTTGTCAAATTATCAAAAATATAGAACCTAGAGAACAGTAACTTGAAGGTTTTATATTCAGTTAAGAGGTATTAAGTTAGTTAAAAACTGATGACCAGTAAGATGACAGAGAACAAAGTGTTCTTCTAGATGAGTATTCATCTTATTTATACCAAAGAAATATATTTTCTCACTAATAAAGAACTTGCATTAACAAGTACCAAAAAAACAAACAAACAAAAAGAAATAATAAACGAAAGTCTATAAACCACACAACCAGATCACTGCCTGAACACAATAAAACCTATTGTTTTAGACTCCAATTTTTTCACCCTATGTTCTGAACACACTGCAAAGCAAATACCTTAGTAGCCTCAAGTGTATGTGTTGTACAAAATAATGAACAGAAAGAATGATAAAATGGGTGGTATTCACCATGATCTAGTCATAAAGTCCTCTAGGATTGTACCTTTATCCCTAGGATCAACAAGCAGGTCATCAGCTGAACAAGGACTCTCCTCGCTACCTTCGTTGGAGATGGTGAGGAATGACGTGGGGGACACAGACTGAGAGCGGCTGCTGTTGTTGCTTCCCCTGTCTGCCCCACCAGGTGTCTGTGTGTCAATGCTGCGTGTGCTGCTACTTCTCTGCACGAGGGGGGGAGGTGCACGATGGCCATCTGGAATATCTTGTGGCTGTTAAAGAGTTTTAAAAATATGTATATTTATCACTGATTCTGAAATACACCCAATGTCAACCTTTCCCTATAGTCCCAGAGACTCACAAATCAGAAAGCCCATCCTACTTTTTAGGTGCTCTTTCAGTGACATTCCTGTCTATTCTGATACCCCCACTGGACACTGAGCAGCCTGAGGTAAAACACTGTCTTCCCAGGACCTGGCACATAGAGATGGCCAATGTCCACTGAATGAATAAATTGGCTAATTTATTTATCATGTTGTTGTTGTTAAGTGCCATCGAGTTGGCTCCAACTCATAGCGACGCCTCTGTGGGTTTCCCAGGCCATATCACTATGGAAGTAGATTGCCCAACCTTCCTTCCAAGGAGTGGCTGGTGGATTTGAACCGCCAGCCTTCTGGTTAGCAGTCAAGTGCCTTATGCACTACACTACCAGAGCTCCAATTTATCATGTACTAAATGTTATTTTTTAAATTATAAAGGAAGGCCACGTAAAGGAGGAGAAATCTACATGCGACACTAGGTTCCACATTAAAAAAAAAAAAAAAAACAAAAAAACTCACTGCTGACAAGTCAGATCCAACTCATAGCGACCCCTGTCGAGTTGGATCCAACTCAGAGCAACCCCTCCTTGGGTTTCCGAGGCAGTATCACTATGGAAGTAGACTGTCCAATCTTTCTTCCCAGGAGTGGCTGGCGGGCTTGAACCACCAGCCTTATGGTTAGCAGTCAAATGCCTTGGGCAATACGCCACCAGAGCTCTCAATCAGTGGGAAAGAAAGTTTTCCATTGTGTCAACTAGTGATTCTTGATGACAGGCCCTTGTTACTTTTCTCTTCCTACCTACTTTCCCCTGGAAGAGATTTTCAAAAGAACTGTCCTAAATGAATGAAAGGTTTATCACAGCAGTGCTAATTACAGGGGAAATCAAGGAGACCCTCATTTAGTTTCCTTATGGCTCATTTAACAGAGGAACCAGCTCTCTGTAGACCCTTGGTTCACTGACCTATATACTATACCATGGAAGTTCCCTACTATGTAGTATGGGGAAGGAGAGGGTGTGGGGAATTGTGTTTTCTCTACCCTAAATCAACTATTTACCTTAAGAGGAGAGGATCATAACCACCAAGAAAATACTATTTTAAACTTAGTCTTTCATTAAAGAATGGAGCCATAGATAAATATACTCTGTAACATGGTTTTAAATCTAAACAGGAATTTTTCTCACCGTAGCTTACAAAGTGAACAATTCTTAATGTGTAGTCTAGCTGGTAGGCAGTTGTAAGTATAAGATGGTTTCTAACTGCCCTTCACAATGATATGCCTAGCATGCCAATGAAATAGTAACCACAACCAAACAAAAAACATGCTGATTCATGTTTAGAAGGTATTCCATTTCATGTAACCCCAACTCATCCAAATACAAGTAAGCTAAACTTTTAAGTGGAGCTATAGCAAATGAGAAGTATATCATCACTGTCTATTTATCTGAAAATACATATACACAAAAAATTTCTGTTCAAGATCCAAATTTCAGTCAGAACAGTTCCCTCTATGAGATGGAAAGCAATGAAAACTTTTCATCCACTTGCCAAGGTCAAAGTTTCTCAAGAGAGAAATGTTCATTCTCTCTCAAAGAAAAGGAAGAAATCTAAGTAAATATGGAAAACAAAACTGTAAATATTTTAACAATTACAAGAATTCCTGTGTTAAGCTTATTTTAGAATACAGTATTACTTACTATAAGTTGCTCTTCCTTTTCCCCAGTCTCTTTAATTATTATTTCAATCTCCTGATTCAGGCCTTCCACACTATTTCGGAACCGGGAGCCTGTTGATTTGGTGATAGGAATGACTGGAATAAGTGCACTCTTTGGAACAGGAGCCTATAAAAAAAAAAAAGTGTAAGGAGGGGAGAAGAGAGGTTTAACATTACCTTTTCACTGTCTAGATTAAAGCATATCTCCAGTTGAAAAGTACAATTCAAATAATAAATAAAATTAAAGTACACTGGCTTCACATAAAATGTGAGTTACCAAGCCTGCAACTTAGTACATACAAAATGTAATTTAAGGTCAAAACCCCAAAGATCACAGCAGGATTTCAAAAGTTTATTCACATCTGTGAGGGAACGGGAATAAGGGCAAAGGAAGATGCTAAAAGAATGTCAATCGCAGAAATTGTTTTGGTCCTAAATAGGTTAAATTTCAGAATATAACTTTAAAGTCCCTGAGTGTCACAATTACCTATATTCCAGGAAAGAAACAGTAAAGTTATTTATCAAAAAAGAAAAGAATAATAATTTGGTAAAGAAAGATTACTTCCAAAGTCCATATATGCAGCAGCAAGACTGCATAAATGAAAGTAACTTCCATGTGGAATTTAATTCTTCATACTTTCATTGTAATGGTTTTACTGAGTTTTGTTTATAAAAAGAAGTGATGCAATTAATCTTCCTTCTTTTGCCAAAGCATATCACTAATTTTTACCTGTAATTTAAAATTTTTTCACTGGCACAATATTACTTTTAAAAAGAAATAACTGATTATATAGTTACAGAATATTACTTGGCTTCCTGATAAGATGATCCTCCAAATAAAACACAAAACAAACATTACATACATATCTGCCAAAATTCATAGCAGTATTGTGCCAGAAGAGCATCTTACGTACTTTTCTGTTGTCTAAAAATATATATGATTAACCCATCCTCATTTAGGATGCTTTCTTTTAAACATCACTCTTTCTGGGGGAGGTGGCAAAGCTGTAAAAATTAGCAAAACCTCTAGTCAAGTATTACTACTTTCATTCCATTGATAACCTTGTCCTATAAAACAGAACCTCACGTTAAACTTTTATTTCTATTCTTTTACTCCTGCTCACCTTTATAATTAAAAAAAAAAGGGAATACAACAATAATCCTGTGAAAAGGCAAGAAGTCTGTGAGAACAAAAAGCCAAGGAGACATTTCAATCTGGAATGCCAAGATATCACTTCACTACTCATTTACAGTTGGGCCCCTGAGTCTGCTTCCTCATATGGAATCTGAAAGTATTACAACCTGTCTCAAAGACTAATTGTGAGAATGAAATGAAAGGACATCTAGCACAGTGTTTGACCCATAATAAATGGCTACTGAGCAGACAGTTGCTGTAATTTTTTACTTTCCACATTATGTATTTTAGGTGCCACAGATGGTTAAGCACTCAACTACTAGCTGAAAGGTTAGTGGTTAGAATCCACCCAGAGGTACCTTTGGAAGACAGGCTTGGAGATCTGCTTCCAAAAATTCAAGCCTTGAGAACCTACAGAGTGGTTCTACTCTGCACATATGGGGTCACCACGACTCGGGTTCAATTGGAAAGCAACAACCTCACTATGTATTTTATTCTTTAAAAATTCAAATAAACAACAAAAAACATTTAATTTCTTAACATTTTCTGTACTACCTGAACAAAGTCTCATCAATCCCAGATACTTCACAAAAGCACAAAACTGAAGAGTACGCTTTATCTCTTAAAGTTTATTTGATTAAAAGCCAATGGTGGTGAGGATGTAGAGAAATCAGAACTTTTGCCCACTGTTACTAGTAATGCGAAATGGTACAGTCCCTATGTAAAAGTTTATGGGTTCCTCAAAAAGTTAAACACAGAGCTACCATATGACCCATCAATTCTACTCTTAGGCATATACCCCAGAGACTTGAAAACAACAAAGTGAATAATGTATACCAATGTTTTTGCAGCACTATTCACAACAGCCAAAAGGTGGAAACAACCCAAATACCCATCAATAGACTAATGGACAGACAAAATAAGGTATATACATACAATACATACAAATGTAGCCATAAAGAGGAATGAAGTCCCGACACATGCCACAACATGGAGAACCTTGAAAATATCATGTTAAGTGAAAGAGGTCAATCACAAAAGGACATATATTGTATGATCTCACTAATATGAAGTACCCAGAATAAGAGATAGAGATCAGAATTTCATATTAACAGGGCAGAAGGAAGGGGATTATGGGGGTGATTACTGTTTAGAAGGCACTGACTTTTGGTTACTGCGATGGAAAATCTGGCAAAGGATACTGGTAAGGGACGTACACTATGATTGATACAATTGACCTCATTGAATTATATACATTAAAAATGTTGAATGGGCAAATGTTGTGTTACCTATACTTTTATAACAATAAAAATAAATCATTTCATAGAAGAAGCACTAGGACTCAGTACAGTGGTCAAGAGAAAAAAGAAAGGCAATAATACATGTAACAATACACACATATATTTAAATTTCACACAGAAAAAAGAAAGATTATTCTCTAAAAATATGAGGAGTAGCTACACCAGGATGGGGGAGTTACAGATGGTATTTTTTGGGGGATTATTTTTTCTACAAACAGCCTGAAGGGACAAACTGCATTATCTTCTATTGCCACTGCCTAACACAGAGCCTAAAATGCTAAACAAGGCTGGTAATTCTGTGTAAGGAAGGAGGGAAGCTCTGCCCCCCTTCCAAAAGATCACAGCCTGGAAAACATGGATAAATTAATTAACCTTGAAAGCATCAGCTTCTTCATCTTTAAAATGAGAAAACTTGTGTTTAAAAAAGTTGTAAGACCACATAAAATATCACTTCACACCCACTAGGATGGCTATTATCAGAAAACAAGTGGAAACAAGTGTTTGACAAAGATGTGGAAATATTGGAAACCCTCATGCACTGCTGGGGGGAAATGTAAAATTATTCAAGTCTTTGGGTATAAACCTCAAAGACATGAAAGAAGGGACTCAAAACAGATGTTCACCACACCACTACTCACACAGCCAAAAGGTGGAAAAAACTCAAGTGTCCATCAACAGGTGAATGGATAAACAATGTGGTATATCCCAATAAAATACTACTCAGCCATAAACAGAAATGAAATTCTGATACAATGCTATGACATGGATGAAGCCTGAGAAAATGCTGAGTGAAATAAGTTAGATACAAAATGACAAATATAGTATGATCCCACTTACAGGAATATCTAGAACAGACAAACGCATAGAGAACAAAGTTTTATTAGTGGTTACCAGGGCCTGGGGAAGGAGCTCTGGTGGCACAGTGCCTAAGGCATTAGACTGCTAACCAAAAGGCTGGTGGTTCAAACCCACCAGCTACTCTGAAAGAAAGATGGGGCAATCTACTTCTGTAAAGATTTACCACCTCTGAAACCCAATGGGGGTCGCTATGAGTCAGAATAGACTTGACAGCAGTGAGTGTGTTTTTTGGTTTAGGGTGGGGGCAGGGAGTTATCATGGAAGGGGCAATGAGTTTCTGTCATTAACCCATGGAAGACTTTTTCATCTAATACCACTGTCTTGTGTCCTTTACAATAGAAGTAAAATTCCAACATGCAATCTCACAAAGGGCTTAAAAAGAAAAAAAAAACATCGACCTATGGTTAGTTGATCTTTGACAAAGGGGTGAAATCCATTAAATGAGGAAGAGAATGTTTGTTTAATAAATGGTGCTGGCAAAACTAGATATCCATTTGCAGAAAAATGAAACAAGATCTGTACTTCACACCATACACAAAAACTACCTCCAGATAGGTCAAAGACTTAAATGTGAAACCTAAATCTATAGAGTTCCTCAAGGAAAAACTAGGGGCAAATTTAGGGGCCCTAATATATGGCATAAACAGACTATCAAGCATAGCTCAAAATGCACAAACAGCAGAAGAGAAACCAGATGATTGGGACCTTCTAAAAATTAAATTTTTATGTGCTTCCAAAGACTTCTCCAAAAGAGTCAAAAGAGAACAAAAAGACAAACAATCCAATTAAAAAGTGGGCAGAAGACTTGAATAGACACTTCACCGAGGAGGATATCCAAGCGTCCAACAAACATATGAAGAAAAGCTCATGATCATTAGCTGTTAGAGAGATGCAAATCAAAACAACAACGAGATACCATCTTGCTCCAGCACTAGTAGCAAAGTTCAACAAAAAACAAAATGCTGGTGAGGATGTGGAAAGATTGGGACTCTCATACACTGCTGATGGGACTGTAAAATAGTACAACCAGTTTGGAAAGCAGTATGGTGATTCCTTCAAAAGTTGAAATTAGAAATACCATTTGACTCAGCCATTCCATTACTAGGTATATATCCTAAAGAAGTGAGAGCCATGACAAGAACAGATATATGCACACCCATGTTCATCGCAGCACTCTTTACAATAGCCAAAAGATGGAAACAACCTAGATGTCCATCAACTGAGGAATAGATAACCAAACTATGGTACATACACACAATGGAATACTATGCAACGCTAAAGAATAATGTAGAATCTGCAAAACACTGCATAACGTGGATGAACCTGGAGGATATTATGCTGAGTGAAATAAGTCAATCACAAAAGGACAAATATTCTATTAGTCCATTATTGTAAAAGTCAAGGAAAGGTTTACCTATGGAAGTAAATTTTCTTTGTTGGTTACGAGGGGTTGGAGGGGAGGGTAGGGAACACTGTTAGATAGGTAGAGGTAAGTATTGATTTGAGTGAATAGAAGGTCAATGTACCAAATGTGAGTGATCAACATGGTGGCACTGGGGAAGAGAAATACATAGAGAGGTACATGGGAGGTACAGACAACAAAGATGAACCATTTTGCACATATAGAACTGCACTGTCAGTGAAGGCAAACATGGGTATATGGGTGGGTAGATGGATGGACAGGCTGAACTAGCAGGTATGTCTTTGAAGTGGAGAGTGTACCCAAGACCATGTATAGGGTTGGCAGACAATGGTCCTATAAGTTTATTTGTATGATCTGAATTCCCAAGTGTATAGTAGAGCTGACAAGGGGCAAGGTTGTAGTCACTTCTT